GAGACACACACAGAGACACACAGAGACACTGAGACACAGAGACACTGAGACACACACTGAAACACACACAGAGACACTGAGACACACACAGAGACACTGAGACACAGAGACACTGAGACACACACACAGACACACACAGAGACACTGAGACACACACAGAGACACTGAGACACACACAGAGACACACAGAGACACACAGAGACACACAGAGACACACACAGACACACTGAGAGACACACAGAGACACTGAGATACACACAGAGACACACAGAGACATTGGAGACACACACAAAGACACTGAGACACACACAGAGACACTGAGACACACACAGAGACACTGAGACACACAGAGACACACAGAGACACTGAGACACACACAGAGACACTGAGACACACATAGAGACACTGACACACACACAGAGACACACAGAGACACTGAGACACACACAGAGACACTGAGACACACACAGAGACACTGAGACACACACACAGACACTGAGACACACACAGAGACACTGAGACACACACAGAGACACTGAGACACACACAGAGACACTGAGACACACACAGAGACACACAGACACAGAGACACACACACAGAGTCACACACAGAGTCACACATAGACACACCAAGACACACAGACACAGAGAGACCCTGATACACACACAGAGTCACACACAGAGTCACACACAGAGACACTGAGACACACACAGAGACAATGAGACACTGAGATACACACCAAGACACACAGAGACACACAGAGACACACAGAGACACTGAGACACACACAGACACACTGAGAGACACACAGAGACACTGAGATACACACAGAGACACACAGAGACACACAGAGACATTGGAGACACACACAAAGACACTGAGACACACACAGAGACACTGAGACACACACAGAGACACTGAGACACACACAGAGACACACAGAGACACTGAGACACACACAGAGACACTGAGACACACACAGAGACACACAGAGACACTGAGACACACACAGAGACACTGAGACACACACAGAGACACTGAGACACACACAGAGACACTGAGATACACACCAAGACACACAGAGACACTGAGACACACACAGAGACACACAGAGACACACACAGACACTGAGACACACACAGAGACACTGAGACACACACAGAGACACACAGAGACACACAGACACAGAGACACACACACAGAGTCACACACAGAGTCACACATAGACACACCAAGACACACAGAGACACAGAGACACAGAGAGACCCTGATACACACACAGAGTCACACACAGA